AAAAGCAAAGCTCTGATTTTCAGAATAAAGTGCCTTAACAAGTTATTACCAACTAAAGACCTATGCTTCCAAAGAAATCTAAATTTATATAAGAGCAAAACTTGTATAGCATGCCTTGCAAAAGAAGAATCGTTAGAACATATTGCAGAATACTAACTATATTAAGGAATTTGGAGAAAGATCGAAAGGTTGATCATAGTAAAGCTGTATATAAAAATTGATGATAGATAGAACATGAATGTCCCAGAACAAACTCTAAAAGAAGTTTTCTTAGAATAGGATATAGCTGAGACACTTAGCAGGAGAAAGCTACTTATTCGAGATCTAACAAGTAACCAGCTCACAATAAGCATCAAAGAAATATTGGGATCTGCTTCCAAGACCAACAAGGTAATAAGTTGGTTCTCTGAACTATTTTGGTCCATTTTCTTTGAAAAATTATGAAAATTTCAGTGCGAAATTATGCTAGAATGGGAAGAGAGGAATAATATCAAGTTTAAAGAAAAACAGAAAAAAACAAAGTGTTTAAATAGATAACTCACAGATAGGTTACAGATATAGCAGCATAGTGTAGAACCAATTGAGTGGTCTAATGCCTGTGTAGCAGACTACTTAAAATAGACAATGACTAAAGTTGTATGTGTAGCTTGTTGTATACTCTTCATATAATTACAAACAGTAGGGATTATCTATGTATAATCCCGTATGCAAATACTAATAAAATCCTGTCAGCAATGTAAGCTGCCTTAAACACAAAAAAAATAAAAAAAATAAAACACATAATAATAGTTGAAGGTGAATGATTAAAATTGAGATTGAACAAAAAATTACTACTAATATTCAAATTATTATAAAATTACTTATTATTATCTATTTTATAGTAATATTAAGTAATATTAAGTAATGATATATAACTAACTTTGCTCATATCTAATATTTTGTAACTTTCACATGTAATACTAGAAACTTAAAATCAAGAAAATTACTAACTTTTACTAGTTATTTGCTCTAAAAATTAAAAATTTAATACTTTACTTTTGTGATATCTACTGGTATATACAGAATCACTTTTATGACAAGTAGTAGAACAACTGAATTCAAATAGATATCAAACATGAATGTGAAAGATAAGATTATAAATATAATCTTATGTTTTTTCTATTTCAAGTTAAAAAGTTCTATTACAAACTATATATAAAAAACTTGTAAAGTCACAATTGGCTAACTGAGTTTCAATTCGAATAAACTTTATTATATAATAACAAAAAAAAATTTATGATCGTAAGTATTTGCCAGATAACAAAATTTACCTATACTTTTAAATTTAGAGTGGTTTTTAAAAAAGCGAAAGAGATATCAGAATCTATGAATCTGATTGGATGCAATATTATCTCAATGGCTCAGCTCAGCTTGAGGTTGATCAGTTTATAAATAGTTCAGCTCCAGTCTATGGAGCTAAAGGATCAGCTCAACTTAGTCAGTATCAGCTATGAGCTGAGCTAAACTGAGCTATTTTCATCATTATTCACAGTTACTCCCAATTTAGTAGAGTTTGGAGATCACTTATAGGTATATTTCACTATATAGACTCTACTCAAACATAGCATCAAATATAAGTTGCATATATATCAATTTCCATTTATAGGTACTTCTATATGTTGGTAAAGTCTAGAATATATTTCACAATATGAGTTGCTTCTAGTCATAGATTTTGTAATACTATAGTACTACTACTATATAATTGGTATTCCATGAACTGGTATACCCTTGTTTTTTGTGTTTCTACTACCAGCTCGATGTATCATGTCATTTCAGATTTTTACAAGTATATCCTGAATTTTGATCTACATTCTACATTGTAGTACTTATTCAATTAGAGAACCTACAGTTAGCCTTGTTGATGTTCATATGAACTCAGTTTCTTCCGTAGCTTTCTACCAGTTTAGTCTTTCAAGGTTTCTAAGATATTTCACAAAGCAGATCCTTTTAAATTTAGTTAGCTACCAAGTTAGGTTAGTACTGCTAATCAGAAATTATGTACTGCTAGCCATCTAGTACTACTGTAACAAGCTTATATGCATCTGTTTGATCTACAATATATACACACAAAGTTCACTACTAAATTAAATGTTAACTGAATTGACTGTCGAAATCTATACTACTTCACCAAACTCAGGATTTCTACCAAGCAGGTCCTCTGCCTGTAGATCCTATCAAGATTTATTCATGCAATGTAACTTGAATATTGCATCATACTTCCAATATTTAATTGACATTGATGCAACGTAATTTATAGGGTTGTAACCCCCAGAAACAGGCAGAGTTTACTGTAAGTTGGGTACAAAGGTCTGAGTAATTATTCAAATTTGTTGATAGTAGAATTTGAACTCCAGACCTCTTGTATAGCAGTCTGGCAACCTAACCACTATACTAAGATTATCAGATCTCAGGTTAAGCTATTGTTAAAAAGCTTTTAATAAATCTTTTATAATATTCTACAAGTTCTAAAAATGATCAGATCTGAATAATATTTTTAGAAGGTTAAATATTCTGTATAGCAATAATCTTTTTTTGAGTCTGAAGAGATTCCTTTAGCTTCAATAATATGTTCTAAGAAAGGTAATTTTGTTATCCAAAAATTACATTTCTCTAAGTTAAACTTTAATTCAGCTTTTCTGAAACTTCTTGTAAATATTTAATATGATCACTAAAGCTTCAAGAAAAGATATTAGTATCATCTAAATAAACAACTATATATTTATAAGTTATGTCTTTATAAATCTAGTTTATGAGATATTAGAAGATTGTAGGAGCATTGCAAAGTTTAAATAGTATTATATTTGCTGAGTTTATTATTATTTGCTAGTATTCACTTATAAGGTCAAAAGTTAAAAAATAAGTAGCTCTTGCAAGTAAGTCTCATATTTCATCTATCTGTAGAAGAGAATAAGAATCCTTTTTAGTAATTGTATTAAGTTTTCTATAGTCAATACAAAATCTTTTCTTTCTATTTTTCTTTGTAACAAGTACAACAAAGAAGGCTCAGAGACTTGTTAAATTACTTATAAGATTATTATTTTTTTTTTTTTTTTTATAAGGGGGCTTACTTTGCTGCAAGTATTTTATTAATTTTCGGATACAGGGTCACAATATGGGTGGCCCTGCTGTTATAGTTACATGAAGAGTATACAACTAGTCATATGTATAACTTTAGTTATTGTCTATTTAAGTAGTCCGCTACACAGATGTTAGGCTATCTAAGTAGTTCTACACAAGCTGCCATATCTGTAACCTGCTTGTGAGTTATCTGTTTAAATACTCTGTTTAATGTAGTGTTACATGCAATCCCAAACTAATATCATCGCAACACCTAACTGCTTAAGCCAGCTAGCTTATTACAGATCATTTTAATGAACAGCTTAGGTCCTCTCAGGATACATTATACCCAACATATTGTGAGTATCTACAGAGCCAGTTAACCTCGTAAGCAAACCTACTAGAGTGTCCTATGCCTATTTCATGGATTCCACCTAGCTTAGACCCTTGTCGATGTTTGTATGAACCCAGTTCCTTCCGTAGCTTTCCACTGGTTTAGTCCTTCGAGGTTTCCAAGATATTTCACAAAGCAGATCCTTCCAAATCTAGTTAGCTGCCAAGCCATATTGGTACTGCTGACCTTTTTGCATGTCAGATAGACTTACTCGCACCTGTTCGATCTACAACGTACGCATATAAACTTCACTACTAGATTAAGCGTTAACCAGATTGATCGTCAAAATCTATACTACTTCATCTAACTCAGGATTTCTACTATATAGGGTCCCTGTCCATAGATCCTATTAAGATTTATTCATACAACATTACGTTCCTCAGATGTCACGTTGCATTCCCAATATTTTATGATATTGGTGCAACATAATTTACAGGGTTACAACCCCAGAAACGAACAGAGTTTGCTGTAAGTTGGGTACAGAAGTTCAAGAAATTATTCAAATTTGTCGACAGTGGGATTTAAACCTCAGACCTCTTGCATGGCAGTCTGGCAACCTAACTACTACATTAAGATCACCAGACCTCCTTATAAGATTATTATCTAGTATCTGTTGAACTTTTTTATTAATAAATATTTGTTTAATAAAAGATATCATATAGAGTTAAGAACTTATAGGAAGTATATTTTCAGTATAGATCTTATAAATTACTAAGTTAGTTTTTTCTAACTGAATAATATCTTTTGTAAAGAAGTCTACAAATTCTTTTAATAATTGTCTAAATATTATTTCTTATTTTTAAGTTAGAGTTCTAATTTTTGGTTTAATTTTCTGAGTTATAGTATATATTTCTTTTTGTTGTAAATTATTTCTAAAGGCTATTTTAAGAGCTTTTTGTTCTGTAAGAAATCTTTTTAATTCATTAAGTAGTTTTATATTATACATAGAATGATTTAAAAATTTTGAGAATTGTTAGAAGTAGTAGCCTATTTACTATCTATTTATTTAAATTATTCATTATAGAAGTATCTTATTTGTCTATAAAATCTTTCAAAACTATTAACTTTGTTTTATAAAACTTCAATAGTTTGGGCTTAGTATTCAAATATTTTAGCTTGAGCTTGTAAAAGGTCAATAACTTGGGTTTGTTGTTTAATTTGTTTTTGTAACAACTTAATGAGATTATCAAGATCTAGTTCTTGTTTAGCTTGAATTATTGGGAGTGCTTCAGGTTGAGGAAGTAGAATTTCAGATTCAACTTCTAGTTCAGGAAGAGAAAAAGAAGGATGTATTTTATCATAACACTAGAGGCAATAGTTATCCTTAAGTTTAGTTCTTTAATAAAGGTATATTTATTCTTTACAAAGAGCAACTTGTTTATAAAAGTTTTTATAAAGGTTTTCTATAGCAACTTGTTGAATAAAGTTTGAATAGCTTGTATTAAAGAATTTAGTAAGAATTCTTTGAAGTTTTTGTTCTTCTGTTTTTGTGAATTATACATAAGGAGTATATACTAATAGATTGATTTCTTTATTACTATATTCTTAGTTATACCTATTAGTAATTTGAAGTTCTAAAGTATTTACTAATTCTTGGATACTTTAATCTAATTGAATCTTAGCAAGGCAAAAGATTCTATTCTAATTCAAGTTATAAGAGTATCTTGTATTTCTAGTTGATTCAGTATAATAATAAACTCTAATCTATAGATTATAGTTAAAGTTCTATTCTATATTTTAAACAACTTTATATACATAGAGATATTCTAGACTACAAAACTAAAAATCTTCTTAGATTATATCTAGTTTATATATTCTAGTTTTGATATGTTCATCTTTGCAGAAAACATATTTAGTAAGAAGTCCTTGCCTATCACTATTAGTAAAATATTCTATACTGTGAGAGTTATTACAAGGTAGTTGTTAGTAAAAGTTAGTTTAACAAATTCTACAGAATAATAAATTATTAAGAAGGTAAATATCTTCTAGTTTCTGTAGAGTTTTATATTGACAACAGTATTTAATTCTTTTGTTACTATAGTATACTATATGTTAATCTTTTACTTCTGCTGAGAAGTATCTATATCTATATCTTTGATTATTTATTTTACAAAGAGCAAGAGAATAGCAAATACTAATATATCCAAATTCATTATATTTGTGATATTTGTTATAAAGGCAATTTATATAGTGATACTATAGTTCATTACAAGTTTTGCAAAAGTTTCTTTTAGAAAGGTATTGTAAGCAGTATGCAACAATATGTCAATATTAATAATATCTGTTATATTGATTGTTAGAACAATTTGCAAATAGGTGTTCTATTTGTTAACAGCTACTACAAATTCTAAAAAAACTTGTAAGAAAGGTTCTAAATTTATATTAAGATTCTTATACAATCTAGAGTTATTCATTTTCTGATTTTGTAATTTGATGTCTACTCATATAGGCTTCTTTAGAAGTTAGAATTTTTTTTTAAACTGATTGAGTTCATAGGCTTCAGTTACAGTTAGTTGTTTAAGAAGAGGTTGGTTTTGTTCATAAGTAGAAAGTACATGAACTTTTTTGTTATTCTACTTGAGAGTATAAGCTTTGTTTTTTCAGTTGTAAGTAGCATTAACTTTTTGAGACTAGTTATTTCTAAGTAAGAGATTATAGGAAGTAGAATTCATTACTTTACATTTAAGAGAATTGTAATATCTTCAATTTCTATAAGGAGGTCCTTAATTATTCCTAGAGATCGAATGAAAAATCCAGTTGCAGAGACAATTAGACTAGTAGAGTAAGTATCAATTTTTAATTTTAGCTTTTTAACTATCTCATAGGAGATTATGCTAATAGAAGTATTACTAATAATAATAGTCTGATATGATTAGTTTCTAATTCAGATATTGCATTTTACTAGTATAGTATAGGTAACAGTTTGATTAAGGTTAATATTCTGAGAGAGTTTTAAGAAATATTTATTTATAGCTATTTACAATGA